AAAAAAAAAAAGAAGTCAGGGTCCCTTGATTCAAAGGCAGGCCTTTTTCCATAAGGCAGATGGGGTCTCTAACTTACCCTACAGAACAGTGGGTAGGGATTTCCTTGTAGTTTTTATCCCCCCGAGATTTGGAACATGAGCTTGTAACCTGATAGAGAAGGGAAAAATAAGAGAATAAGAGTGAGGAGGGGGGCTGAGGGATCCACAGACATAAACAGTATTTCTTGAAGAAAAAATTCAAAATTCTATCAAGACGACAGAGTCTTAGGAAAGAAATTTGGTTCCAGGTGATCTATTATAGGATCAAGATAATTGAGTGTCCATTGCTTTCCCAGAGCCTGGGAGGTATATAATTAAGGAAGGCCGTTCAAACAATTTGCTGATATGAGTGGTCTCTGTATCTCCCTCCTTTTTATAATTGGCTTTTGCTATATTTTCCTCCTGTAATGAGTCTGTTTACATAAAACAGTGATCAGGTATGATCATGACTAGTAATAATTATTGCCAACACATTTACAGCGCTTTCAAGTTCATATAGTTCCCTTGAGGAATTTCATTAAACCCCTCAAGACAAGCTGAGAGGTCAGCATTGTTGTAATGTTTCTTCAACAAATGGAAGAAGAGAGATCCTGAGCTTGCCCGCTGGAAATGCTAAAACCAGAATTCACATCTAGGTTGACATCGTGATGGAGAGACTCTATGAAGACTACCAGAAGATTGTATTTCATGGCAGGGGGTTCAGAGTTGAGAAAGAGGGGTTGGACCTCCAGGAGGTCCTTCTGGGAATCCACTGAAGCGGTGTTTCTCTGTGGAACCTGGAACAAACACCAACATCTAAAGAGGAGACGGAGGGAAAGAATCTTACGAACAAAGCTTCCTTCAATCCTACATCTATCTGTGGTTAATCCACTTGCATCTCAGAGAAAGTATCAAGTCTCCAGAAAACTTTTGCTTCAAGTTAACGGCCTTAACGTAGTGGAACAAATCACCATTTCACTAGAGAATGAACATGCATTCGCCACTTTTTCCAATGGGAATCTGTCTTTGGTATTAAATAGGAAAGCCAAATATATTTCTATTCTCCAGAATATAGATACATCTGAACTATAATAGCATATCATATATTTTGATATTTTCACAGCCACCATAAAGTACAAGACACTCCTCTAGACAGCACAAGAAATAAATCATCAACCCTACAATTTTAAATGTAGATTCCCTTTTCTTACATTTTTATCAGAGTAGTCCTAAAAGTTGGGAGCATGGCAGGGGTGGGTTGAGGGGGTGGTCTACCTTTCCATTCCACGGCCACAAACACTGCTTCTCCACCCTTCTATACTGGTGTTGCCCAATGTCTTTGTCAGTATGATCTTCATTGCCCGAAGTCAGGAAACCCTGCTTGGGAAAGAGAGAAAGAGGAAGGGGGAAATGCCAATATACTATTCAATGAAGAATGAAAAGGGCTGTAGCTCTCTTGTCTGCAAAATGGTAGAGATGTGTAGTATTTTCCAGCGCTGCGGTTCCTACCTCTGTTCACTTGGCTGAGAAGTGATAGCAAATGCTGAGGGTAGGGCTTTTCCTGAAATTTTCTGCTCAAGGCCACGTATGTATATTATTGTGCACATTAGCAAACTTTAGAACATCTCTGCCTTTTCTGGAATCCATGTGACCAACTGGTTTATAACCTTGTTACTTTTGTGTGTCTGTGTGTGTCTTTTTGTTCACAGAGAAAAGTCTTTGCCGGAAATGCAGTGAGAATTGCAAGACATGTACAGAATTTCACAATTGCACAGAATGCAGGGATGGGTTAAGGTGAGAGAGCGAAGGATCTCGGCAAGTCCCACAGCCCAAGGAGCTTCTCAGTATAAATAAAATATGCAAATAAATAATCCTCTTGCCATCACCCTCTTGACTCCCATTCAAACACTTGATTGCTATTTGCATTATCTTTACCATTATATGTGAAAAATTGGATGCCATCTTGGCTGAGGAAGGTTTATACACCAACTAAAATCCTCTTCAGAAAAGATGGCTCAGATAGAACTAAATAAAAATGGCTATTTGAGAGGCTCTCTTCGTGCTTCTTGACCGGCAGCGTGCCCGTCAAGGATTACTGTGTGGGTAATACCAATGAATTATATTTAATCCTCCTGATTCATTCCTTTGATGGTCGGAAACTATTCCCTTATCTTTATTATTTCTCTCCGTATAGCCAATCATTCTCTTATCTTAAGTACCTCAGGCTTGGTTCCATTATGCTCTGGTATGCACATAGATTTAACACCTGGAGAGGTTTTTCTTGACTGGATGACCTCGCTCATTGCCAAAGCCAGATAGCGATAGGTTCTGCAAGAGAACAAGCACACAGCAAAAATGAACTAGGTGGCCTCTTGATGTCCACAGAGAAGGTCAGACCATCCTCTGCTGGGTGAGGAGTTGGACTCTGAGCGTATAGGGCGCTAGAAACCTGCCACACCGGATCTCTCTTAAGTGTTGAGAATTCCTGTCTCCACCTTTGATTGGCGAGGTGAACTGGGCAGGTCCCAGACAGGTGATTCTTTACACTAATTAATATCAGAACATCGTTTTTGTTTAGATTGTCAGTGGCCCCCTTTTTTTTTTTCATACACGCATTCGGTACTGATTTGATTTCCTTTCACCTCCAGCCTTTCAGTCTTGGGGCGCCTGGGTGGCTCAGTCGGCTAAGTGGCCAACTTCAGCTCAGGTCATGATCTCACAGCTTGTGGGTTCGAGCCCCGCGTCAGGCTTTGTGCTGACAGCTGGTAGCTCAGAGCCTGGAGCCTGCTTCAGATTCTGTGTCTCCCTCTCTCCTGCCCTCTCCTCCTCCTCCTCCCTGTTCATATACAAGGCTTCTCTCTCTCTCTCTCTCTCAAAAGTAAATAAACATTTTAAAAAATTAGTTTTTAAATTTTTTTTAAAAAGACTTTCGGTCTTAATAAATATCAGTCTAGACAGCCCCCAAATTTTTGGAGAAAGAGCAGATCGGTATAATAAAAAGGAGAGAAGATGACGGACGTGGGCCAAAGCCTTCCTATTAATCAGCTATGGGATCGTGGTCAAGTCACTAAGGCATTCTGAACTTCAGTTTTGTCCTCTAGAAAATGAGAAACCAACCCCTACATTGCTGGATTATGACAGGATTAATTGCGATGACATTTACAAAGTACCTATTTCAATATGGGACACATACTCGGTCCATGAAAAATAAAAGGTTGCTTAAGATTAGTTTCTAGAGAGGTGCCTGAGTGACTCCATCGATCAAGTGTCCAACTTAGGCTCGGGTCATGCGCTCAAGGCTGGTGAGTTCCAGCCCCGTGTCAGGCTCTGTGCTGACAGCTCAGTCTGGAGCCTGCCCTGCTTGGGATTCTATTTCTCTGTGTGGCTCTCTGCCCCTTCCCTGCTTGTGCTCTGTTTCTGTCTCCCTAAATAAATAAATAAAATAAAATAATTTCTATACAACTGACCGTTGCAGAACTCAGGGGTAGGGACACCAACCCCCATCCCATGCAGTTGAAAATCACACATAATTTTAACTCCTTTCTTTTTCTTGTAAAATTTATTCTGAGAGAGAGAGCAAGAGGGGAGGGGCAGAGAGAGAGAGGTTGAGAGAGAGAGAATCCCAAGCAGGGCAGCTCCGTCCGCGTGGAGCCCGACACAGGGCTCGATCTCATGAACCGTGAGATCATGACCTGAGCCAAAATCGAGTCGGACACTTAACCGACTGAGCCACCCGGGTATGCCAACTCTTTAACGTACTCTTAACTACATAACTACTAGCAGCCTATTGTTGGCCATAAGTCTCACAAATAACAGTCAATCAACACATATTTTGTGTTACATATATTATATACTGTAGTCTTACAAAAAGTAAGCCTACAGAAAAGAAAATGTTAAGAAAAGTCTAAGGTAAATACACTTATAGTACTGTCATTTATCCAAAAACTCCACTTATAAGTGGACTCATGCAATTCAAACCTGTGTTTTCGAGGGCCAGCTGTGTTTCTCTGGGAACATTTTAGAGAGTTCGTAACCGGCACTCTCCAACAGAAACATGAGAGCCGTATATGTTAATTTTATATATGGCAGGAGCCACATTAAAAGAAGCAAAAAGATACGGGTGAAAGCTAAAAAAATATTAACTGACTATATCCAAAATATTATCATTTCCACATGTAATCAGTATAAAAGACTCAGAGAGATACTTCACATTCTTTTTGTCGCTATACCCAATCTTACCTGGTGGGCATTTTACCCCTAACGCAGGTCCCACGTCTCAACATGGACAGTAATTTTTTTTTTTTATAATGAGCAGTATGTGATCTGCGTTTAGATTTGACAGAATTGAGTCGAAGTAGATTTTCTAGCGCCACGTCGTTCCAAACTTAGAATTTTGCCGATAGCTGAACCAAGTGCCAGCGTGTAAAATGTAGACTGAAATTAATCACGACTGAAATTAAGTTAATTTAAACCACGTAACACTTAGGATCCCAGTCGTTGGCCACACTGGCCACATATCAAGTGCTCAGGAGCCACAGGTGCCAGAAAAGCAGGCGGGACAGCACAGTCCTGAGCTGGCCGCTTTAGCACAGGAAGAACCCAGGCGTTCACAGCCCCAGCTGGTCAGCCGAGCCACCGCTGTATGCTGAAAGCTGCAGAAAGCTTCAGGATGCTCAATGCCTGCTCTCTGTTGCACGACCCACTTAAGCTCATTTCTTCCTCACACAGGGAAGCCTCTGTCTCATGCTGAATAAATGCCAACCTCAGAAGGAATGTCCTTTATTAGAAAAGCTGGACGGCTCTTTTTTTCTAAGCTTTGATAAGTGTTTTGGTGGTCCTTCCACAAAAGGATCCGTCGGATGCAACGTTCTTTTCTTCCAGTTCTCCAGAAAGGGAAGGGATTTTCTTTCACTGGCTTTTTAAAACATCTCTCCCCGGCCAGTAAGATCTGCGAATGAGAGTCCGCATTCAGTTACGCTGCCCTCTGTCTCCTTGAACCTGCCTGCCTTTGCCTCGGAGGCTTTGAGGCTTGATCGTTTTGCCTCAAGAGACCTGTAAAATTGTAAATCATGGCTAAGCAACAAACACAGAAAAATACGTATGCATACGGCACCGGAAGGAAGTGGATTAAAATGTTAACAGGACTGTTTGGGATCCTTTTTCATCTATGTTTGTTCTTTCCAAGTTTATTAAGCATAGGGAAAAATCAATTTTACTTTTCCAAGTTAGTATGATGCAAATACAAAGCACAGTCAAATAAGATGTGAACTGGAGAATGTAAGGAGTCCAAGGGGATAAAAAACCATATGACCCTGTTGCTTAGATACCCATCTTCTAGTATCTTCTATGTGGTGACATAGCATTACAAACCCTAATGTATAGTTCTGATCACACTATTCAGTGAGCAATATTTATATATTAAATGTCATAAATTACGTTTTAAGAACCAACCTGTAGACCATGGAAACTATCATAACTGATAGAAATTAGAAGGGAGAAAACAATATGCATTCCCCATTCAACATTCTGGCAAGTTAATAGATTCTAAGAGTGCTGAGTAGAGAAAAAAACGGTACGGATCACACCTGGAAACAATAATATAACTAAGAAAAGTTGGGGTGTTTGGAGAATCTGCAGTATAGGGAGGTCATTTTACTAAATTGTTCATTAGAATTTAAAAGAGGGGCGCCTGGGTGGCGCAGTCGGTTAAGCGTCCGACTTCAGCCAGGTCACGATCTCGCGGTCCGTGAGTTCGAGCCCCGCGTCGGGCTCTGGGCTGATGGCTCAGAGCCTGGAGCCTGTTTCCGATTCTGTGTCTCCCTCTCTCTCTGCCCCTCCCCCGTTCATGCTCTGTCTCTCTCTGTCCCAAAAATAAACGTTGAAAAAAAAAAAATTAAAAAAAAAAAAAAAGAATTTAAAAGAAATCAAGAAAGAGGCAAAGTATGTTCAAGTTGTGTTGTTTTGATGAGAGCCAGTAGAAGAACTAAACAATCAGAAACGAATACAAAAATAGCTACCCCTGGGCGTGTGGGCTGGCCAGAGATCATCGCGCCCTTTTATTCAGTTGCAATTCATTGTACCATCAGTGCAGATGGGCTGCAGGGCTCGAACTCACGAGTCGTGAGATCCTGACCCGAGCCGAAATCAAGAGTTGGACGCTTACCTGCCTGAACCACCCGGGCGTCTCTACAAACCAGCTTTTGGATCTATGATGTAGCAGGTCTGGGCATCAAAGTTGTCAGACACGTTGTTCGGCAGTGAGTTTTGTCAGTAAAATATTTTTAAGAACATCCGGGCTGTAAGTTGTGGAGCAAAGAAGGAATGTGTCAGCCCAGTCTGACAATTAAGAAAATTGTCCCCAGAACTTGCAGCACGTG